GTATAATCGGTTTTTGTGTGTTTGTGTACAAACTTCTCGTGTATTCATATCGTACATCTGGTACCAAGCAAATGATTTCCGCATCTCTTGCTCGTCGCGCAAACACTAAACACGCTTATGCGAATATTTTATTATTCATTTTATTTGGAAAATTTTCTGTGGCATCCTTGATGTGGTTTGGCTGCCAATGCAGTTGGATTTACAGATAATCTTCGCACACTATCGCTCGGGTAATCCGAGCACACATACACACTGGCTGTAAAATGATTTTATTGCATGAAAATCTCATTTGATAATTATTATAGAACTCATAACCCCAAAAATACAGTTGGGCGAACAAGTACATATAACACAGTCTCTGTCTCACTCAGTAAAGTAAAAAAAGGGAACAAATTAACATTTATTTGCAGCGAGGAAAAACATATAACTTGAAACTCTAACCAGTTCACGTTTATAATGGTTAAATCGGTTTGCAGCATGCTTCAATTTATATGCGGTTTTTGTAATCTTCTCTGCTGCCGCCTCATCACATGGCTGAAAGTTTTCCTTCGGTTTTTTATTTTACATTTGATGTCGAATCCAAAATGAAGTTAAGTACTGAATATTGCCGCATTGAATACATTCAAGTTATCGTTTCTCGACCGCTTCGAGGTAAAATAAAAGTTTTTTTTTATTTTCCGACATTTGCTGACAAAAAGTGGCATAAAGTTAAATAGTTTGGAGAATGTATGTTTAATTATTATCATCATATTATGTAAATTTACCGAATATTGTTTAATTTTAACCGCAATAAAACTTATCCGACTTTCATTTCCGACTTCCATGACCAACATCATCAACTTCAATGTTTGCTGAACACTATGCCAACTCATTCGCAATGAAATGAACTCTAAGTGGTTGATAGCAATAGGCTATGTATTTGACCGACCCAGTGGTCTTTACATTTATGAAATTTCAATTTATGATCTTGCTCTTGAATTGCTTCATCCCAAAAATTATAATGAACATTCAAATATTAGTCTATATTTGTGAGAATTATTTCATTGCCGACGTAATTCAAGTCAAATTGGCACGAATTTCTTTACCATTTTTTGCCTTTTTCAATAGACTTTAAATTTACCGAACTCAGGGGAGAAAGCGGGGTAAACTAGGTTAAAACATTTTTCTTTATCTAAAACTTAACCCTTTGCTAACTAAAATATATTGTAGCTGTTATAATTTTTGAAACTCTTCGAACAATGATTCAACAACTAACTAAGAAGAACAGAAGGTCGCACGGACAGAAGAATGGACGAATGAATGAATGAGGACCAAAAGGGTTAAATCTATTACATTTATTTCCATGAAATGAATATCAGATATACTGCCATAGAATTGAGATATTTCTTTTGATTTTTGCACAAAAAACTGACGATACTTTGATATGTTTTTCATTCACACTTTACTTTTGATTGCTTTTTTTCTGTACGGCATTCTATGCGATGGCTTTGAATAGAAGAGAGATAAAGGGATACATATTTTGTATATACATTTAAATTAACTTATGTTTTATATAAAAATATTTTACCGTTTTTCTGTTTTTATTCAACGAAACATGTGATACTCGCAGAATGTAAATGTTAATCCGATTTGGTTGAAAGTAGCCTTTTTGAATTTACCATAGAACTTAATAATTCACTCTTATCAAACTATAAAAGCTACTTTAAATGCAGTTTTAAACGTTTTCATAACATTTTCTACCTAGATTATTGCGACGGTATAAATAAATCATTTTAAAATGTTTTTTTCTCTTTTGATTCTGTTTATCGTCATGATGAATGCGTCGCAATGTTGTTCCACTGAAAAGGAGCTAATTTTGAATGAACAAATGCTTCCTTTACATCACATGTTTTAAAGTTAATTTACATATCCTTATTATGAGAACTTTCATCTGAATTAATTTCGTGAACAAATAACTTTGTTTTTTCACTTTTGGCTAAATCATGATTCCGAAATCCTTGCTGCGAAATATGTTGCGTTGGTTGATGAGGGAGAGAGAGTGAAAGAGGAAGGGAGAAATTTCTAACTGTAATGAAATTTTCATGTTTGAAAAATGATATGGTGCGATGACCCGAAATTTGTAAGCAAGTTCCCATTCCTCCCTACCATAAAAAAATGTCTTTTCAATACAAAGGTCTCATTTCTTTGCTCAACAAAATTGTTTTCTCTTCACTGTTATAATAAAAAGCGTTGTATTAAATATTCATTCAAAATGTGAGCGAAAACAAAAACTTTTCTTGAGAATCATTCGAATGGTCTGGGTACATTGGCAACAGATGTATATGTATTTTCTTCAACAAAAGATTTCATTGGATGTGTGTAGTGCCGAAACAACACAGCCACAATTGAATGAAAATAAAAACGGCAACCATCATCATGAAGACATTGACATGGGGATTAAGTTTAGTTTGGGATTTGAATTTCGGATTATTCCAATTAAAAGAATGAAATTTTGAAAATTAATTTTTCATTGCTTCCATGGAATGCCGACGAGAAATTCCCATTTCAATGTAAATCATACATTTAATTCATTCGAATTTATTTTGTTTGTGAGTGTATCTCTAATTAGACAACGCCTTCTCGTACGAAAATAAAGTTTTGCGAGATTTTTGTGTGTGATTCTCCAAACAAATCATTGCCGCCATGACGATGAGGCCCTGCTTTGAATCGAGTATTTCCTTTGTATTGTCGTCACTTTTTTCATTACTTAACGCATGAATATTTTAAAAGAGTGAATAACCGTTTAGCACTGAAACGTTTGTCTTTGATGAAAATGTTTGCCAGTACGACGACGTTATATTAAAAGAAAAGTTTTACGCACAACTTATAGAAGTATTGTGGTGCAACGTATGACTGCTATTGCCTTGCGATGCTGTGTAATTAAAATGTAAATGACAGATTTCATGAAATTATTTCCTATGCCTTGGCAATGGAAAAATAAATAAATGTTGAAATGTTTTTTTTTTCTCTTTCGTTTGTTGCGAATCGAATCATTTTCCAAGCCAACGCATTTGACGAATAAATTTCATTAAACACCAGATTTAATGCAAATGACAGCTTACGGAAATGTATATACAAAAATTAACGCTCGAAACCAAATATTTTTCATTTGGATTGCTATGATTATTACTGAGAACTTAGGACGAAATTAAATTTGGCAAAGTAAACACATAAAATAATTGATTTCGTGGAAACTATGGAATGTAACACGAAACTATGAACCATATTTCGCAGAAGAAAGATCCTTCAAAAGAGCATCCAATTTGAAAATGGGTAATTTTAGAGGCCTGTTTGTTTTTGTACCAATTTTGCAATCATTTCTATTTGACCATCAATTAATAAATTCACAACTAAATGAAAAGAGAGAATGTTGCGAGAAACATCTGTTTTATATGCCATCCCGAAACGGTTCAAGTGCTCCACGTGCAACTCTTTTCACAATGTTTAATTCGAAGTGAAGGAAAGCGCCAAGCATGAAAACTACTCATTTGGGCCATTCACTGCCATTTCTTTTCTAACGTGCAAATTAATTCAGTTGATATTGAATTCTTTTCTCTTTTTTTTCATTTAAAACTTTTCGTTTCATGGAATATTATAAAATATCGTTTCGTCGGCGATTAAGATAAGTTTTCAACTTCAGCAGCAGATGTTTGCTCACACAAAACTAAGGTGAATTGAAATGGACACAAAAAAAATCGAAAGTTTTCATTCACTTTCGAACTTTGCGTGCCAATGTAAATGAAAACTAGGTGTAATTGCATCAAAGTGGATGCGTCTGTCTGAATAGGGGTGTAAGTGAGATATAGGTATAGAAAGAGATAGAAATTAAAAAGAATGGCCATGCAATTTGATCATTGGCAAGAAAACGGAGCAAGTTTTCAAAATGTAGTTTCAAATTAATTCCTTTTTGAAGTAATCTATTTCAAATTAAACTAAAAGTTATCATGATTGTTATTAATATGAGTCCAGATGCAATTAGGTTTGTGCAAAACAGCAAATTTGTATTAGTCGGACGCAAATTGTGAACGCGGTGCACATGATGTGCGTTATCGTGAATTACAAGTTCGATAAAATAGTTTCTATGTAGCTAATTCAATTTCAGTTTCATTTGCTACATCATCATCGTCATCAGCACATTTCCATTTGACAGTGTGTATACATTTTCATCAGAATGATGGCAAACTTTTTGAGTAACATCATTCCCAAACGATGTTTAACACACATACACACGGCGTATTGTTGTTGTAACGGTTAGTTCTGGGGCATCTGGTTGCAAAGTACACATTTATTCAACACTTTAAAAAGCCATTCGAATATTTAACTAGCATAAAATTACGTTAAATACACAATTTGACGATGATGATGACGATGAATAAGATGTTCTCCTTTTTCAGTAAAATGCATTGCGAAATCGAAAGTTCTGGTTGAAGAAAATATGTCGACCGAAACAAAATTAAATCGTCTGTATATGAGTCACTGTCTTCACACGAAATCTGTTTATTTTATGTATTACCGTGAACACGATGCGAACATTGAGTCAATAATTTTATTTTAAAAACAATAAAGATAGTCAATTAATGTTTGCAATGCGTGTGCTAATTCGCGTAAGCTCAAACAAAGTAGATACAAATGTTTGTTCCGTTATTTTGCTTTTTATTTTCGTTCGATCGACCTAAATTCATCGTCAGTCACATTGAGTCGAATAGATGATTCAACTTTAATTAGAACAATAACAGTAATTGTTGTGTATTCAAGCTGGGATGAAAGTCAAGAGAAATTTAAATTCATAGTACCACGTTTTCATCTAAAATGATTCAATTAAAACATTATGCAAAACAATTTGTATTTGCTCACTTTTAATTATTCTGACATGTGAATAAGAATAAAAAAATCTTGATACATAAAAAACATACATTTTCTTTTCGTCAATCGTCTGTATAAAAGAGAGTAACCGTCTTGCACTTGGATTTAGATAAGTTTGGCAAACCAAGTGACAAAACGGTTGAGCAAGTGGATTTTTTTGTTTTCAATTTAAAAATGGCAAAATTATTTATTATAGTTGCGTTAGTGATAACATTTCAGGTAATTTTTATCAGCATTTTGTGACCAAGAAAACATATTTTTTCGAAGAAAAGTGAAATAGTTTTGTATTTTATCAATTTAAACATTTAGCTAGCTGAAAATCAATATGAAGTCGTTGCACTAAGTCAACCAATAAACGTTCAAACACGATCATCGAGTCCGGTTGCACCGATTGGTGGAGTGTCCATTGAACATCCATTGGTAAAAAAAAATTAAATAAATTCCAATGAGGTAGTGGATGGTAATTTTTATTTTTAAATTTGAATAGCAAGCAACAGTGTATGCATACCGAAAAGGAAAGATGAAGTTATTGGTGCCATTTGAAATCACTGTTGTACCAATGGGAAGCGGCGGTTTGGAGCCCGAATATTCATCAAATCCCATCTCTGGCCAAGTACGCCCACAGCAACAAGATCCAAATCGTTCGGTATACAATAGAAATGCCTATCGACAATATCCTGCAGCACAATTTGGACCAAGCTATTATCCACCATCCGCATATCAACAACCATACTATTATGCACCGTACAATGGTTACAATGCAAACAATGCCTTCTATGGTTACAATCAGCAATCACCGTATCGCAATCCATATTATTCGCCGGCATATCGTCGAGTTGACACAAAACCATGGCCACAATATCATCATTCATCATCTCAACAAGTAGGTAAATAAAATATTTATTCTCACAAGTGATTTTCTCAAACGTGAATATTAACCATGTCAATCTTCAAAATTGATAATATCCGACGAAAAAAAGGCCAATACAAAGCCAGTCAACGCAGCCAACGCAACATCGGATCAACAAAACGCAACGCAAAATTGGTCCGGAAATAATACGGCAATCAACATAAGTAGTCTAGTGAATAATGAAATGCACCCACAAAATGCATTGGCACCAAGTAAGAGAGCTCTATCACAATGAATTACAACCCGTTCTTTATACACATATTTGTCAATTTTTTTAAACAGCAACAAACAAAACGGTTCCACCCGAAACAACATTGGCTCCTCCAGCAACTACAATCTCCTTGCCAACGACAAACGCTGCACCGGAACAAAAATCCGAAGCCACTGAAAATGAAAGTAAACAAACCAATGCGAAAGTTGAACAAATACCGGCACAAGATATGAATAGAGAAGAATCAAGATATGTTCAACCTTATTTTGTCGCACCGCCACCGAATTTTATTCCCGACGGCTCATTCCTACCGAATGGAATGCATTTCAATGGGGAATACAATGATCAAATAAACGGTAATTGAACAAAAAACCCTTGCACATCATCGTCGTGTTGTGAAGACAATGGAAAAATCAACGAAAATTATCAAACCCACGAAAATAAACATAAACACAAACCAAACCTCATTCAAGCTACATGGAGTATAAGCAGCATTTGTTTTACTAATACGCACGAACAATACAATTGATTTTGGTGCCGAAAAGTTGTTTTGCACCCAAAAAAAAAATTCATATGCAAATATTTTTATACGATTTTTACAAAATGGAACTTTTGATCTTGGTTAGAAAGATATAGTTAGAGATTTACACTAGGATTTACATTTCCCAAATCACAACTCGTTCTGATAATAAATTCACAAAAGAAATAAAAATGAAATGTCGAACAAAAAATAAAATAAAAAGAGTTTTCTTTTTCGCAGTGATTATTTTCAGTTGTTCGATATACGGCCCAGGGAATTCGCCATGGCAAAAGTCAATGAGATTGAATTACTAGCCGACTGAAACGTCTTCGTTTACATTTGTATATGTGTTTATGCATCGCAATTTCGTATATGATTTCAATTCCATACATTGGTGTCTAGAGACGTGGAAATGTTTCGAAAAAAAAAATCTGTTCATCCATTGTCAATTTGTATTTTTCTTGCTCTCGTTTCGATTTCAAAGCGCCACTTAAGCTCAGCTGTGTTCCGACACTTTGAAGTGTATTTTATGCTCTCAGTGAGTACGTTCTTTGAAGTGATGATAATGATAAAATGGGTCGTGGTTTACTTAAAAAAAGAAGCATTTACCATTTGATGCGAAAAACAAAAATACCACAGATCTTTTACGATCAAAGAGAATTGAGTTGGCGATCCATGAGGGTGGGAGAAAAAAAATCTATTTTGGTATGAAATACGCAATTCGCATTCCATGTCTGACATCTAATATATTCGCATCCCAAAACAGCTAATATCATTTTTTTTCATGGATTGGTTTTCGATCGTAAGCCGGTTTTTTGTCGACATCACTTAACGGCATGTAGGCAGAAAATGTTAAATAACTCCATCGGTCCAATGAGAACATTTGGGGAAAAGTAGAGCGAGCACACAAAAAATGAATCGAAATGAGTCTGCATACAAAATATGTGAAAATGATAGTCCACATCTTATCATGTGATAAAGTTAAGTTACTTTAAAAAATAAACTAATCCATTTCGAAAAACGAAAAAGTCTTAATTTGCCAACATAATCTGATGTGCAAATGTGCAAAGATAAACATTATCACTTTAAATGCGGAAAATGTTCATTTCCGAAAAATTATGAACGAAGCAAAATGGAAATTTAAAATCGGAGATGCATGGAAAAACATAAAGTTTTTGATGCAAACAAGAAAACTTTGTAATAAAACCATATGTAAATATTAGTCTGAACATGCAAGTTTCCGTAAAAGTTTTGGTCCGAGCATAATTTTTTTTGTTGACAAACACAACCACTAATACCGATTAGCTGAGAGATTTTAGTTAAAAATGTTTCTTCTATTGAACTGACCGTGCATGGTAACTCACAGTGGAAAAGTCGAAACTCATCAAATTTAGCCGCAACGAAATTGATTTTCATTCCACTCATTGAACGGAAAATGGAGTACGGTATCAGAGAGCATATGCAAGAATAATGTTGTTGGCGAAGGTCATGGAGCAAATGCCAAAATGAAACCGGATATTTTGAAACCATGCAAAATATTTGTTACGTTCGTCTTTTTTGCAATACTCAATTTTACGAGAAATTTCATTTGCGTTTTTGTTGGGTATACCATCCGAATACGTATGGATCGTCTTAAATTCCATTTAAAAAAAAGCCACAACCAATTCGTTTTGTTTGGTGCTGTCAATAAGCTCATTTCATCAAAAAGACAACCAGTCATTTTTTATGAACAGAACTCATTTTTCACATACTCGCGCTCTCTCGCTCGCTCGCTTTTTCTGTTGAAGAGTCTCTGCAAGTACACAATATAGCACAACACATATACAATACCGTGTATACAAATACTGTTTTCTTGAGCGCCGTAGAAAAAGCCAAAAACCAATTTCATCGGTTGAAAACGAAATCGTTAAAATTGGAATTCGGCCATTTTTCATATGCAAAATGAAGCGAACACCGAAATTCAAAAACACACATTCCATGGAGACTCCAACACAAGACACACACGTGTGTAACGCAATTTTGTTCTCGATACCGAGCTTCGGAATGTTTATGATGTGTGAAAAGTTCTATACACTGAGTCAACGGTCATTTCAACGAAACGTTATCGAGAATAAATTTGAATAACAAATGTGCTACTTGAAGGCAAATCCCAAAATATCGAATATTATGTCTACATTTTGTAGTACCCAAACCTCAAAATAGATGAGCTGCATCCTTTTTCCGATAGAGGAAAGTTTTCTAAATGAGAATATTGAAGTGTCAATTTTTCATTAAAAACGATCAATAGAACTCAAGTCCAAATGAAAACTAAATGTAACCAAAAAAAACTCCAAAATATCTTACGATATATTTCAGTAGACCGCACTAGGTTGTACGATTGGTGTGCCAAAAAGAAAAATCGAAAATGGCCAAACATTTTTATGCTTCTCTAAGTGTATATGATTTATTCGTGTATATTGATTTTTTTTTGTGCTGGTGCATTGTGCATTGATTTTCATTGAAATAAGGACGTTTCGGTTGTTTGCTAATAGTATATTGGTGCATATTATATTGGTGAGCCTTTGACCAATTGTAAGTGAATTCTATTTTTGGGGTTTTGTGATTGTGGTCGTATTCTTCGCTTTAGCTACCACTTTTTCCTTTACGTTTACCGCATTTCCAATTCATTTTATCGAATGTCATTACCATTCATCATTTGTGTATTATGAAAAACCGTGGCACATTCGAAATAATGCTGGAAATGTGGTACTTGGTGTGCGCTGTTGCCAGCCGTAGCATATGCACACTGGACGAACTCCATGGTGGTGGTAGTGGTGGTGGCTGTAAAAAGCAATTGCAGACTATTCTTGCCAGCAGTAATTTATTTTGTCATGGTCGTTTTATAGCACTATAGACGGAGGTACAACATGCAATCCGACTGTGTGGTGTGCGGTGCATAACCAAATTTAACGGTTTTGTTGTGGTAAAACTGACAACATTGTAAACGTGCGTATGCTTTGATATGGGTAGATCCGTTTTTCAGATGATTTCTATCTCTTCATTTTGGTTCACTATCTTCCAAAATAACTGTACATTTAATTCTCAGAATATTTCGTGTAATAGCAATTCAATTTTATGAATTCGTTCGATGTTGTTTGCCTAGAATTTTTTTATATACATATATTACTACTTGATCAGAGTCCAAATTCGAGTGTTCATTCTATAAAAAGCTCTTGAACCGTAAACCATGCTCAAGCATTGGCAAAGGTATACAGTTTTATATGGCATGTGCAGTGTATGTGACTCTCTCTCTCTCTGTGTGTGTGTGTTGGCTCCACATGAACTTCACTGTCGTCGTGAAAGAACATCAAAAGGGCTGACACAATTAATAGGAATTTGTGGCCAGTGCGCTGCTCATCATTTTCATTCACTTGAATGAAAACCCACAATTGGATACTGTGTGTAGAAAAATTGTAGCAAGTCTATATGGTGAATCGGGTCAAAACTTAAAGAGAAAAGTCTAATATTACTATCTAAATAGTCTCAGCTAGAGAATTATATTTTCACTCGACAGGGCCACTGCTGGGAATTATTTCACGAAATATTCACACATTTAAAATGTATCAAAATGTGGCTAACAAAATGTCAAAGTTAAAATGTGCTAATAGCTGCAAGGTGACACAAAATATTACAGTTCGACAAAACTTTGCTCCACCCAAGCATGTACATCTTTTATAATTCATTGGATTTGTTTTTGTTTTCTTATCGCTTTCAAATTATTATTGGCGTCGATCAATCTTTGGCAGTTTTATTTCCATAGCAAAATGTGTACATACGAAATGACGTGCGGTGCGATTGTGTATCAATTGTTCGAGAGATACCAATACCATTACCGGCAGCGACTTTTCAGTGTCGTTGTCAATGTTGGCGCATATTTAAATTTGTGATACGAGTACAAACGGCGAACCACTGTACATCAAACAATTTGTATAGCAAATTTTTGCTACTGTGCTGTATTTTGTTGAAATTTGAATGTCCGCATATATTTATCTTAATAAACAGTGTTCGTCGTTCTCTTATGTTTCGGGCGCAAACAATTATGAAATAAATTATACAAAATAAACATTAATCAAATGTTTTTGTGAAAGAATCCACCGCAAATCACCCTCGAGAATTATTTGTTAATTGAAATGAAAATGGACCCTGCACGAAGAGCTGTAGACAAATTATACGCGATTCATGCTGTTGATATTCACTTTTAATTTTGACTTTACGTTCCATTTTCATTGAAAAACTAACTCAATTAACGAATTTGACAGACACATGGAAAGTAAATGGCGAACCCAAAAGTTGCACAAAAATTACTATAACCATTGAGTTAATTTACGGTTAAGTGAATGAATGTGATGATGTTGCATTGCGTTTTTAGTTCATCCTCACCTTTTCTTCACCCTTTTAGTGTTCAACAATGTGGTTTTGTTTTAGTTTTTTTCTTCAACCTATAGAAAATTCAATATCATGTGACCTTTTCATCCGTTAACTTTTAATGACTCAAAATTGATCCGATGTTTAGTATTTTACGAAACATAGTTTGTTTTAGCTGTTTAAGCCGATGACAGATTACAGTGAAACTTTTGTTGGCTGTCAAAACTTGAAACAATGTTGAATTCGTTCGTAAGAGAATATATATGGGCATAGAAAAATGCAAACAAACTCAAATGCGAAACATTGAAATGAATTGGAAAATGTGAAATTTCGGCTGTTGAAATGAAATTGTTTGAAACCACTTTCAAATCCAATGTGGATGAAATGAAGAGTAACAAAATGGCTAAAATGTGATAATAAAATGAGCATCATTGCTTCAAGCTGTTACATACTCTCTATTTTTTTAAAGATAATACACCGTATGATTTTCATGTAATAGAGTGTGGTTAGCGGAAAATGTGCGATGTGTTACCCATACGCATATCCTTATCATAACAACCAAGAAAGAAAAGCAATAACAATTGATGTTAATGTTTGAAGTGCGCGTTGCGAAAAATACATTTTGAAAAATACTGCACATATTAAATAAAACACCATATTTATTTAATTAGCTTTCGCTTTCATCAAACTTATTATGTTGTTTAGTGGAAATTCATTTCAATTTCTCTCAATGGCCATTACGTCTTCGGTGAATGTTCAACTTGATTGAATCAGCTAAACGGAATGGTTTAAGTGTAAAAAATAAGTGAACGAAGTGGTTCTTATCGTAACGAGATAAATGATGCTTAATTATGTTTCTCGTCAGATTTACTGTTTGCAATATGAGTACATAAAGCGTCACCGCACCATAACCAATACTGAATCAGTTGTCGCGTTGATTTTATTCAATTTATACACATGCACCACATATGGTGGTAAACTCTCATGAGAGACTTTTAATTGCTGAAGATGAAAAAAGACGCGCACTCACACACACGCGTGCGACATAAGAAAATATCGCCACAAAATTGAATACGTCGTCTGGTGAACTATATATTTGGAGCGACGATGTAATAATAAACGAAAGTAAATTTAAAGTTTTAATATAAATAAACTAAACACATTATGGCCGCTTGTCTATGATTTTGTCATTTCGAGTATAATGTGGTGATGAAAAACACCACATTCAAAAGAACCAACAAACCAACTCCCATTTGATGATTTCAAATAAAGAGAAATCCAGTTTATTTCATGATTTGAACAAAATTCCAAGCCAAAAACATACAATTTCACGATTTGTTTGAACTGAAGAGTATAAAACATGTTCACCGCATTTTGTCTGGGTGAAAATACTGAACAAACATTTCAGTACATGAACGAAAATGTAAAGAAAACACACACACCTTTCTTTTGTAGGCCAACCAAAACACTCGTTGTGTGTAATTTCTTTCATTTAAACAGTATGGAATTGATCGCATTCACCATGCGAACATTTGGAACGAATGTTTTGCGTACAAACAACTGGTTTGGTTTCATTCATAAAATAACAATAATTTCATTGCATATTTCACTTTGATACTTTATGGTTACAAGGCATCCATAATACTCAAATCATGTCATTGAAGCTGAAAATTGAATTTATCAAGTGGTTGAATGGCAGAAACACATTCTTGATTGTAACATTTTCCTGCATTATGCATGGTTTGAATCTTATGTAAGAGTTTTTCGGATTTTTTCGTTTTTGTTAACATTTACCCTAATTAATGTTAGCTAAAGATATATTTGCCTACCTGCAAGCCTACAAGCCAGTTTCATCTAAATTCAATGTTTTTTTTCTCCATTGTTTGTGTTTATAATCTCGTAAAACTTGATGTATTCTTTGATCATCATTTTAATGTGAATGGTTACTTCAACTGTTGTCTTTTCATCTGCACACACATTGCCAACTGGATTTTGACCTTGATGTGATGAAAGAGATACATTTTTTGACATGACATGATGGGATCTACTTTACTATTCAAATTATTGTGAAAAAAGAGTGTTTCGGTCCATCATTTTTAATCGAAACATGTTATGAGGCATTTTTTTTTTTGTTTGTTTGCTTTTCCTTTCAAAAGCGACATTTATCAAACCGAAAAAGCAGACATAATTTTTCAGTCATAATTTGATTAATCAACACCAGACTGTGTCGCTTATTATCATAGGTAAAACTCACCGAGTTTTAAGGCAATGGATGCATATTAATAATGGTGAAATTTAATTTTGTGTCGTGCAAGTGAAATTCGTACAATTTTATGCCATCATTTTTGTGGCCACGCTTTGATGTGAGGAGTTTTTATTTTATCACAATCAGAGTACGAGGAAGGTACAATACACCAAGTGTCCAGCATATAGACGACCTTTTTTAAATGTAACACGCAGACAGAGCACAGAATACAAAAAAAGCTGAAATTAGATGATAAAATGTGACTTGTGAGGTAAATTATTTATGCTGAACATTTTAATGTGTTTCTTTTTCTGGGTTGTTTTTGAGCTTGGCAAAACCTCACCTGGCAAGAATAAACCGATTCTCCCAATTGAACAAATATTACATAACCAACGTTTTAATTTGACTAATTTCCGAAAGCATTTGATTCTATACGAAGACTTATATGTGTAATGCAATGTTTGGACAAAGTTTGGTGCTGGTTTCTTTCGTTCTAACATTTCCATATGAAACTCGGTTTCGAACACAAACAATGGTATTTGCTCCGCATACTCCGTTTATGTGCATTCTTACAAATTGAATTTCTTTGGATGCCATTTGGAATAGAGTCGGGGGTAAACAGAGAGGAAGAGAGGGAGAGAGAGTCTTATATTGAATGCATTTAATTGAATGTAGTTGAATTAGTAATTTTAGATGTTCCAATTTCAAGATATAATCTTGCTGTGCTTAGTGTGGTGCACAATGTACGCATATAAGAAAGTTTCATCCATTCGAATGTTGTCATTTGTCCTTCCGACGACAATCGTACAAATTTGAATAAGAATAAATGCGGTGTACACGACTAGTGTCAAGTGTGTGTATGTGTGTTCCACAGAGGTTGAGCAAATAAAATAAATAAATTGGTCATGCTGTTCATGCCGTTGAAACCGGCAAACAATTGCAACATGAAATTCAAATAGACGAACAAACAAATGAATGGGTTAGGATAAAAGTGAGCTCAAATTTTCATATAAAAAAAT